CAATGAATGATATCATATGATAAGCATATCCTAAGAGGTAAATAAAAACATATGATAAAATATAGTGCATAAATAAGCAGGTATAGGATGAAGTAAGGTAGAACCCCCTTTGAATCAACCTTGGTGAATTTCAATGATTTAATTAGATCAAGAAGAAAGTTAGGGCTGATTGGGATCACATCATATGACTTTGGTCATGCTTAGCTAATTTTCTTTTAAGCTGAAGGCTAAAGCGAAGGCTCAATTCTAAACGTAAAATTAAAGGTTTGCTTATTGAAGCATATTTGACTTTCCGAAAACACACTTAGCAAAATTGTTTGCTAAGAGGAAACTAAGATCGGAATCAGTTATTGTTGAAACAATATAGTCCGAGTCGGCAACAAAGAATTGTCCTTGTAAGTCAACGTAAATTTTGAAGTAAAGATTTGTTTCGATGATCCGAGGAATTTGAGGCAAAACTGAAGTCTGAGGTTGTTTTCACAATAAGTTTTTCTTTATCTTAATCTCTTTAGATTATTTATTTAAATATTTTCTTTTATTTAATTCTTATCTTTTATTTTAAAAAAACTTTTAAAAACTCATTTTTATCTTTACTACTATTATTTATTATTTTATTATATTTCCCTTTCATTTATTATTATTTTATTTTTTTCTTTCCTTGTATTTTCTTTAAAATTCAACCCTTCTTATTTTATTTTATTTTATTTTTATTTTCCCACTCCTTTTTTATTTTGTTTTATTTTTATTTTCTCTTTCAACATTTTTTATATTTTATTATTTTTTTCTGAAATTTAATATTTTCTTCATTTATTTTATTTTCTCTTTTAACAATTTTTATATAACATTTTTTAAATTTAATATTTCCTTCTTTGATTTATTTTTTTAAATTTAATTTTTATTTGATATTTCTTTTATTTTATAATATAACGTTTTCAACTTTTTAGAGGTAACTTTAATCAATCAAAGGTAAGTAATTTGAATTGAATCTCTAAATTTTAATTTCAATTTCAATTTTCGCAATTAAGAGAACCGACAAATTAAATGGTACCGAAAAAGCAGTTTAATTGTGTTAATCTTTCCTTGACTGTAACCGACTCCCAAATCCGACATATTTCTGGTAAAACGTAGATCAGGTAAGATAATATCTGATCAACCAAATTTTTTACGAAAAATAAATTATCGGTGGCGACTCTAACGTTTTTATTTAATATTGTTTCGCAATACTTATAAAACTATCTGAATCCTGTCAACTTTAAAATCATTTGGTTTAACTTTAAAATATTTTAAAATATAAGACTATTCAATCATACATTCAGATAGAATTATGCAAATAAAGATAAAGTAGCCCTAATTTACTATTGCATACCCTTTAAAAATATAAGTCTATCAGAGCTACCAAACAGATAAATTATATATGCCACTAAAATCGAAATCATACCAGAGAAGTCTTATTGATATTGTAGGTAGATTGATTTTTGAAAAGATGCATCAAGAGGCTCCTCACTTCACATTTTTTTTCTTTATCTGAACCTACACGTGAAAATCATCATATGCTCAGTAAAACTTAGTGACACAATATAACTACTTAAGGTGAGATAAAATAAAAATTTCATAATAACAATTCAAAACATTAAAATTTAAAATTCAAATGAATACGTTGAAATTCCAAACCGACTTATTCAAGCCACTTTTGTTTGTCAAAAACCTGAAAATCATAATCTCATGATTTTATGAGAATTATAGTAATCAACATCAATCATAATAAATATTCCATATTCCTTTTTCTCAAACCCTTTCTAGAAACTTTTACATTCAAATACATTTTAGAACTTTCACTTTCAGATTTCATTTTTATCTGAAAGCCTATCAGATTTTTTATCTTTCGTATTTATAGCCCAATGTATATGTAAGATAATGCAAGGAACGTGAGTCAGACGAGTGTGTGCAAGAAGCACTTCAGTGCTTCCATCACACTATGCACTTCAAGTGCAATCGTATCATTTGCACCAAGGGTGCTACACATAATGTACACAAATATACCAGATCATAATCAGAATCACTCCACCTCATAGCATGCCAATTGTACCTACGGCTCTCAATGCAACATACAATGGACTTTCATATCTTATTCATTTTAGAATCAATATTTCAAATTTAGAATCATTTCTACTTCATTATCGTCAAAATAGAACATAGAGAGTTCATACCCTAAATCATCCATAAAACTTATACAAACATTATGTAAATAATTCATATTAAAAATAGAAAACATAGTTTAAAATAATTACGAGGTTAACTTATCACAAGTCGTCCTAAATCATATTAATTAAATAAACTAATTGTACTCACATTGACACTTAATTTATAAATCAAAATATTATCCTCACTGAACTTTAGGTTAATCCTTTGCTTTCGATTGCCTCAACTATAAAATTTATCTTAGTTTTATACTCTGACAATTTGCATAACCTTCAAAGAAGTATTATTCTGTATTAATCTACATACTTAAAAATTATTATGTTTGCAACAATGGAAACTAGACTCGAATATGAATATAACCATATAAGACACTTCTTTTAGTTCAACTTGTACAATTTATAGCGAATTTTCAAAGCTGACTTGCATAAACTGATTTGAGCAGAAACTGCTGTCATGTTTTCTGACCTATCATTGATTAAAAATCATATTTTTTTGTATACACCTCGGAATTAGTATCCATTTATTTTAAATAAAACTAGACTTATATAAAAATCCAACGGTATAGATATAATTCTCTAATCACTTTTATATAATTTTTGGTGATTTTCTAAACTTAATGTTCAAATCATAATTTCTGGTCAGCTTACCCTAATTAATATCCTTAATTTATTCTATAATTCTATTAGTTTACCAAGTGAACATTATACATGAATAAAAAATCTCATAATATTTAGGAGTCACTTCTTACCGTAATAACTTTTTCATTGGCTCATCGCAAACTAATGTTCGTTCGATAACATAAATATTGATTAAATATGTACTCACCTTTGCCTCACTACTGAACCTTTCCTACGATGTCCTTTTTTCCTCTCGTACTTTGACCTTTACTTTCATATCGCTAGAATCAGAAGATTTTTTGCAGTTTGATCAACATCACATACATACACCATTTTCAAACTATATGTTAATATTCTACTAACATAATCTAATTTCGATGAAAAATAAATTTTGTAAATGTAATCAATACTTAATCGATGAAAATTAAATCACAACGTCATCATAACTTAAAACTTTACAAAATAATTATTCAATTCCATAAATGTTCGTTCCATCATCAATCCTTCAACTTTTGAAAGTTTCGCATTTAAATCACTAATTATGAATTCTTGTTAGAATTCACATCAACCTTTCCATTTAATTCATAATGGCCTTTCACCATTTCATTCAATTCAAACCAGCATTAAAATTTCCAGCATTGATATAATATATTCAATCTAATACCTTTAAATTTACAAACTTGCAATTTAAACCCCAAACTTTCTAACTCTTCGAATTAGTCACCAAACTTCACCAACTTTTGCATTTTGATCCAAAATAACATTCTAACTTCAATTTCTAGCATTAAACACCCACAATTAAGCAATTATACAACAATACCCTCAAATATTCAAGACTTGCAAAAAATGGTCCATTTACTAACACAACACTCCAAATTGATCCAATTAATTCTCCAAGACATGTAGAATACATCTAAAATCAAATACAAACCATTCAAAAATTTTGAATTTTTTTCCCTAAATAAATTCACCATGGTCGAACCTTATCAGTGATCTAATGCATACTTTTCGTTCAATTTCAAGCATGAATTCAACCTCCTTACATCAAATTCATATATTTCAATCATGACAAAATCAAATTTATTCACTACTCAATCAACTTCTATAAACCCTAACCATGGCCAAACATGATATAAGCTTCAACACATGAATTTAATCATCTCCTATGCTATAGAATTACTCAACAACATAAAAATCTCCCATCAAATCTTCAAAATCAAACATGTTCTTCAACCACCCAAATCATGCATCTCAATATCTAAGCATGATTTCCTTGAAATATTTATACCAAATGATACAAAATTTCAAGAGGATTAATTCTCTATCTAATAGCTTAATCCAAAAATCAAAGAAAATGGCGTAAAATGGAAAATAATTTTTTTCTTACCTCCAATGGTGTTCACGGCAGCAAGGGGAAGAAGATGGAAAATTTTTGCTTATTTTTTTCCTCATTTATTAGCCTTTACCCTTGTTATATTCTAATTAAATGAATTTAAAATTCATTTAATGAGAAATTATTAGTTTACCCTTAATAAAATGTGATAATTTCCATTTACCCTTGAAATATCTTCTATTAAAATATCTCATAGTCAAAGATGAACCAAAATAAAGTTGACTTTCTACTTTGGCCATGCAATTTTAAAAACTTTCACTTTAGTCACCAAATTTCCCAAATTTCGGCTAAATAAGGAAAATTAACTTCAATTCCACAGATCCATGATAAATTTCACTGTTCTAAGATATGGAAATAATATTTCCAACCTTTATCTAGCATCCTTCAAATTTTTGTAAAATTTTTGTTCGATCCGATTATCCAATTTCTTACTAGACTTTTTTTTGTAACTTTTAATACAAATCCCGAATCAAAATTCTGATTCTCATTAAAACAATTGTTTCGAAACAAACTATCCATTTGCAGGCCAAAACATATATCTTTTAAAATTACATTTTTGCATTCTAAATATTTCTAAATTTATACTTTGGCCACTAAACTTTCAAAACTTAAGCAAAAATTTGGGGTATTAAATCACCCCTCCCATATGCCAAACCAAAACTACCTTGCATTCGGATATTATGATTCACATCAACATTCACAACTGGAGCAGCACCCGATGACCCTCCATCAATTAACTTCGCCATATGAGCACTCAACTACAGACCATCCGCTTGTTCAAATGTTTGTTGTTACATCTCCGCATCAACAAGCATCGAAGCAATACGGTCGAAAGATAGCGGATAGCTACTGGTGGTAATCACAACCACGAACGGTCTATACTCCGGGGGAAGACCATTTAGAACCGTGACAATCTGTTCATACTCCGACACCGGAGCACCACAGGCAGTTAACACATCGCACACTTCTTTAACCTAAGCAATATAGGATCGCATATTCAAATCACCTTTCCAGAGCAACTTGAGCCTATAATGAAGACTCGTGATCACCGTAGGAGATTTGTTCGCAAAAATAATCGTCACTTTCATCCATATCTCTGCCGTTTCAGCTCCAACAAGATGAGGAAGAATCGATGGGTCGATCGTTGACAAAAGCCAAGATGCAAGAGCATTATATTGCGTAACAAACACTTCATACTCATCTTTTTCCACCATAACACCACCGCCCAACACCACCGTTGCAGCTGGAGGAAGCACATTACCAGTTAACAACTTCTTCAAACGGTGACTCCTCACCGTAAGTAAGATTTGTTGCTTCCATAACAAATAGTTTATCTTATCCAAAGTAACACTCACTCGTTTGTTCGAGAAAACGCTATTGTTGAGAGCAAGTCCAGTCACCACAGTCATCACCTGAAAAGAAGAAGAAGAAGAAATAAGCACCCAAAAAGAAAAAAAGAACGAACCATGACTGCTAATACCATGTTTGACTTTTAAATTCTCTTTATTATTATTGTGGAAAAGCTTCTCTAAACCCTCACCTCTTACACGCTATATATAGGTGTGATATCAAACTTTCTACACTCGCAAATAACCACTAAATTCAGCTCACACACTCACTGAGAACCTTACACACCAACAACTTTTAAAATATTATCAGTTGCAAACACTCACATATTGTATCCTCCATATTAGTAAGAATATTATTGATGAGTTTCATAAGACCCGCATTCGTAGAGAGTTAGTAAGAATAATAGTCGACAATAGAGATATATAACAACAAAAGTTGTTGAGGTCATTAATATAGTACTAAAAGGTACATGTCATCTTCCAATAACGAGTGCGGTGAAAGAGAAATACTTTAAGTTGGCTAAGATTTGGTTCGATAAAGGGAATGAGATTGAGTTTCTCATAAATAGAGGTAATATTTGGGCCCTTATAGTGGTGGAAACAATGGAAGCAAATGAGTTATTGACAACCTCAATGCTTGTTCATAACTTTGACCGAATTGATCATAATTTCTTTGTGAAATGCATATGTCGTAAGGAATGAGGAGAGAGCAAAATATTTAAATTTAATTTATGACAAAGATGATATGATTGTGGTCGCTTTTAGACATAAAGATATATGTGTGTGTTCATGCAGTCATTGCATGTATGCATGCTAGTATAAGCACTTACATTTATGTTGATGAATGCTTTCACCTACATAGGATATTTAATGTCTATAGCTATGTGTTCAATCAGATCCCAAATGAATCATATTTATTGAAAAATTATCATTATGAATGGCTACCAAATTTAATGCTTCGTAAAAGTTCAAATGGTTCACTTAAGTCCACTATAAATTTTCATATTAGAGAGAAATGTTAACTGAAGAGATGCAAATTATGTAGAGGTGAAGATCATTAAAAAAAAAGTGTCTAAATCTACCAAGATATAGGCTTGAGTAATTATATTTGTATTTGGACGAATATTTGAACTTCATTTATATTTCTATTTGAATAAATGTTTAGTTTTTCCTATTTGTTTTTTGAATGAGTGTGATGGATTCCACATTTGATTTGGAATAAAATAAATGGAATTTGTATACATGAATTAAAAGAAATTAAACATCATTTGAATAAATAATATTTTATTTAATATTAATTTTTCATACAAAAAATAATGGACTATTTACTATTCTTACTGGTGCTAAAGTGTTGTGGAATGATAATGTCGAGGTGAACATCGATTGTGTTATTGTCGATGTGGTTGCACAGGGGTTTGGTAACCAATCTCCTCATTCACTGAGGGCATATAATTTGGTGTTGTAAATATATGTCCACCATTTTGTTCTCCCATCTCCGGTGGAAACATATAATGACAAACAGTCATATTTGACATCATAGATGTCATGTTTTCAAAATCATATGCTGATACAAACATGGGAGAGTATATGGGTGACTGGCGATGAATAAACTCTGGTATTATCCCACAACAATAAAATCATCAAACCCTTGAGGAAATGATCTTTCGCCGCCTAAAGGTTGTGATAAGCTATTATCCATATATACTATTTACACTACATGGTGAGATGAACTCCCACTTCCACTCGGTATAGATTTTTTGACTTTACTAATTTTTTTCTTATATCGTACAAAATGTCACCTTTCTATCATCGTTGTCAAGTATGGCTTTCCATTATCTCAATAATAGTTAAGACAAGCCAAAGTCTGAAAATCAAAGTCATCATCTTGAATGGGAGTAAGAGCTAGCAAGTATGAAGCCTTGTTGTTCTGCCTTGTTGTCCCAAACATTAATGTAGTTAGTATACTTCTCAACTCAATTCTCGTCGTGTTTACCTTGTCCATTTAATTTGTGTGGGTCGTCATGATTGTATAGATTATGAAAAATAGACTGATGGAAATTGAACTGTCTCCACACTCTATCCAAAAATTGGAACTAAACAATAACAAATTGGAACTAATATTGACAATCATCGCAAACATCCTATGAAACATATGTGGTAATATCTTCATCTATGTACGACCTTCAAATAAATTATAAAATTAAAAATTATTAAAAAAAAATTATCTTTATTAATTCATGAATAAAATAATTTAAATAAAAATAAAAATTACCTCTTTCTTCTTTCTTCTTTCTTTCTCTCTTCCCTTCTTCTATTTTCTTCTTTTCTTTTCTCTTCTTTCTTATTTTCCCATTTGTCCACCCTCCCATAACACTCATATATATTACAAAATTTCCTACCCACCAACCAAACATTATTGCAGCATTATTGGTGACCAATAATGGTACCATATTGCTTCCATACATGCTAAACTTCACAGACGAGCACATGAAAAATTGAGTGAAGATTGAAGATGCACTACAGTCAGTGCGACATTCATTTCAGATCGAATGTGTATGGCATTTTATGCGACACACCTCGATTGAATTGGTGACGCACTACTACGGTCCACACGTCCCCCATGTGATGATGTGATTGTTATGTTGGAGTATAGATCCAGTGGGGCCCATCTTTCCTGAGTGGTGACGTTTCTCCTCTCTCACCCTTCACGTTGCATGCATGGGTTTGTATTTGTTAAGGCTCACCCCTCTCTCCTTTCTGTTAGAGGCTTCTCACTCTTCCTTTCCTTCTCGAATCTTCTATCTTGCAAATCCTTGTTTTCAGCTTTAGTATAAATATCCAGCTTCGGTAATCTGCTAAAGGATGGGGTTGAATGTTTTTAATCAAATAATTCTTAGATGTTCTCTTTCCCTTCTTTCTTATCATTTGTTTTTCATTTAAGAGGAGAAACCTAAAAGTTGGCTCTCATAATTGTACTATGATTAGTTATCTCATCATCAATCTCTAAAAACTCATCCTATAGATCAACCAAATTTTGAAACATTTCTGGAAACCATGCAAACTCCACACGTCAGAACCGCGCTTATTGACTATCTACGTAGATTTTCTTCGACCAATCTTTTAGACGTTTAAATCATTTCATGAGATCCTTCCAAAGTCGTACAATTAAATATAATTATAATATAACACGAACCAAACGATCTCAATAGTTAGAGGAATGATTTTTATATTTAGAGGTTTCAGGTTCAAACGTCAACGACTACTAATCACTCTAAATTAATTAAAAATATATATATAATTGTAATATAAAAAATTGTCATATAAATTTGACAATTTGGACTTCATTTAGCATAGAAGAAAGATCCATTAAGCAGTAGTGAACGGTATGACTAAGGCCCAATTTCAAGGAAGCTCACTTGTTGATTTAAGATTAAACCATTCAAACGAATATCAAACCCATTTGACATTGGATTTGGGATAATTGGAAAAGGAAACCCAAAACCTTAAAAGTGGTGAAGTGCCATTTCCCCCAACAATAGTTTGGGAATGTCAGGTGTAAGAACATAGGGTTCGTCTAGAGGAGTCATGGGCACCAAATAACAAGTAGTAAACAGGGGTTTTTTTCCTACTTTTTATAAGGCATCCGATGATAATAGGTAAAGAGGCCCTAGGTTAGTGTGTGTGATGCATAGGCACGTGATAAGTTGTTGAGGGAAACCTTTCGTTTCAGGCAATTAATGTGATGCAATGCAAAACGCAGCTCCCGAGTCACACCAGTAATCATAATATGCTTGAAGGGTAATAACCTAATGCTATATTTTCAGCCTATAATATCAATTCATCTCCCTCACACTCACATGCAAAGCCCAGTGGGTCCACTCTAACTCTCAAAGGGGGAACCATAGCATACTAATCTCATTAACTTTGCCAAGTCTCTCCTACGGCCCAAACCATTCAATTGCATGTATTTGTTAAAATGCATATTTAACTCGATTATCGATTTAAAAATATATGTACAAACATAAAATTTAAAAGCTTAAATTGCATAAAAAATATATGTATACACATAGATAAATATTTTATTAAATAAAAAACACATATATACACGTGCGATTAATTTGATTTATTTAGTTTAGGAGGTTACTATGACTCGATTATCGATTTTGGATATCCAAATTGAATAAATTGACTAATTGTATTTGTATGTACATATTTAGCTATTCTACTTTTAATATAAAATTAAATATTGAAAAATAAAATAAAATAATTCAATACATTTAATTAAAAAACTAAATTAAAAAAATAAGGAACCGGTTTTCGGGTACCCTGCTTGGACTAACATTTCAGCCCAGGCGACCCGTGAATTCATGTGATTTAACGAGTCGGGTATTCATTTCATAATTTTTTATTTTTTAAAAAACATTTATTTTTTATCGGATCAACAAGTAAACAGACAAAAAACACCCCTAACTAGTAAGGTGATCCTTTTGTTGCACGAATCGAGTGACCTCAGTGGCAAAATAATTGCCATTATTCCTTTATGTCATGGGTTCGAGCACCAAGAATACCATAGGTGTGAACGTTCAATGTCAAATGATTAAGAGTTATCTTTAAACAGATAATGTTTTATACTTACCTCAGTGATTAAACGACTTGTTATTTTTCCTAGAGGTCTCAGATTTGAAATCGATAGAGATATAAGGGTTCATTTTCAATTGGTTATCAAAGTCATACATCGCTGAGCGGAAAAAAATAAAGCAATTATTTAATCACATAGTCAATGTTATGTGAAAATTCAATTAATTATATTTAATTAATAATAAATCTATATGTTAAAGGAAAATTTAAAAATATTAAAAATGTATATAAAAATAGAAGTAAATGATGTCTAATTAGAATAAAATGATTAAATTTCAAATTTTAACATAGCATAATTAAGTTATTTATCTAAATTTCAGAAGAAAAAAATCAAATATCAATTCTCAACAACCAAGTTTCATGTTTGAATCCTAGATTTTACATCAAAGGGTTCTCAAAGACATGGATTTTTGTATGAATAGAAACAAGAAGGATGTGGAGAGAAGATAAGTTAAGAATGAGTACTGTTTTGATAAAGGCTATGAGTCTATCTCTA